GTGGAACTTGTATAATTATTCGAGTTCAAATAATTTTAGAATTTTTACTTTTATTTCTAGCAATTAAGCAAAAGCCAAACATGTTCTTAGAATTATTTGTTATGACTTTCACTTTTACTTACTATATAAGAGTTTTTCCTGAGTAAGTTATTTTAGTCCTTATTTCGTGGTAATTATTTGTTCAAAACAATCTTTTGAATAGTAAAATTTTGAAGAATATACGATTAAAAAAGTTAAAAAAAAATTAAGTTTATGTGTAAAATATTTTATTGTGTGAATGTGTGATTGAAAATGAATGAGTTTTGAATGACTATCAAATAAACATTTTTTAAAATTTCTTCTAACCAAATAAAGCATATCAAAAAATTATCTAAGTATGTTCGAAAGCAACTTCTTGATTTAAAAATAATTATTAATTTTTTCAAAATCATTCCAAATGGGACTTTAATAATCTATCTAAAGCATTTTTTTCCCTATTATTAGCCGAAAAATAAGAATGACATTTCGCCTTTATGGTCATGCATGGATGATGGCCGGTGACCGACCTTTCTGTTTCTTCTCCCTCTCTAATTATTGTCAGCTGTTTCGCCCACCATGAACATTCTCTCTCTTCTCGGACCTTCTTCATTAACATATGGAAAAGTTCTATTTTTAGTTTGATGGAATAATATAATCTCCAAAAATCCCCAACGAATGATCCACGTAGAAAGCGTATGCATCCATTCAAGAACTTTCCATTTTTTTTTTATATGTATAGATTTTTTATTTTTATTTTTTTTCACCCTAAATGGTGACAGTAAATTACTAGATCAGTTAGTCAGATATTAATTACTCATTATAAATTCATATTCTTTCAAAAATTTCGATTAATTTACACCGTAGAAAGCGTATCCATTCAAGAACTTTCTATTTTTAATTTTCACTTTATCCCTAAAAGCTGACAGTAAATTAATTAAGCAGATGTTAATTACTCATTAACATTAATATTCTGTGAAAATTTTGAATTAATTTTTGTTTGTTGAATTGAATCTTTACAGTTCATTTGTGCGTACTATGTTAAGGTTCCTTTTTAGCTGCTGTTAGTGATAGGCACGCCTGGCAGGCAACTCACCATCATTCCCTCCACCCCGCACAAGCTTTCCTCTCCATCTCTCTCTCTCTCTCACACTCACGCACTCACTATAAGAAAAAAATAATTCTCGCGGTCTCAAAATTCTCCGGTTTTTCCTTCCTACTTCAGAACCCACTCTTTTATTTTTATTTATTTATTTTTGTTAAACAATTGGATTAATTTCGTCATTAGATTGGATCGATTGGGTTTGGTTCACAATTAATTTCATCGAGAAAGGTAATTAGCGTACTAAAAATCTGCCACCTTTCTCTCTGTTTCTGCTTTTCACATTTTCTCCATTTGCTTTGTAATTCTTACTTTTCTTGATGGATATTTGTGTTGACGTGTGTGCGATGTTATGCGTGTTTATTGGGAAATGAATTCCTATGTTCTGGGAAGAATTAATTTAATTTGAATGTATGTTGCTTTGCATATTATAACTTTGTAATTCCTATGCACTTTTCTAATTTTTGCATACGGGGACCAGGAAATTATTTCATTAGTTTAAATTTTGGATTTAGAATTTCAAGATCACTGAACTGAATGAAAGGAAAAAAACAGATATTTGTGAGCTGAGTAAATCAGCCTATCTAATAGACTGCGAATGAGGCGTTATCTTGTATATTTGTTGGTGGAAATGTAAGATGAACTCAATTTTGCTTTATGTCAGCTGATTTGCAACTTTGTCATCTAATTTTCTGTCTACTGAAAATCTCACCCCCCCCCCCCCCCCCCCCTCTCGCTCTCTCGGGGAGGAGTTTTAAGAAATTGTTCATGGCGAGGATTGAAATGTGATTTCCATGAATCTAGGTTGATTACAATAAATGCGAAGCTATTGAAGAGTTAAGAATTTGGGAGTACCATAAGAAAGTTTTGATTTTAGATAGTTCATTCGGCCCCAAAGTGAAGTTTATACCAGCTTATTACACTTTCGCAGCAGTAGGACATTATATCAAGCACATAATGGGCATGTTTGGAAAGAACCAAGTGGGGCATAATGTTCCATCCAAATTGACCATGAAAGCATGTTAAATAGAGGGAAGGTTAACTCTTGATAGATTGGGAACATTACATGGGAGGGGAGTATGAATTACGAAGAGATTGCTTATGAGACAATATCAGAGCAACTGGAAGATGGAGAATGTATTTAAAGGAAGATGTACAAGTAGCAATTTCGTTTTGTTCCTACAAATGAAATGGGCTCAGATAGTGTTCTTTCAGAAGTTTATCAGTTGTTTACATGAGTGGAACGTACCACAATTTTTTTAGTGTTTGCTTTTTAGGGTAAGGAATATGCTAAATCTCCAAAGGAAAGAGTTAGCCATGTGTATATCTGTTAGTAGGAACTTCGATTATGACTAAGCTTTAGGCAGGAGATTTTTCTCTTTATCATCAATGGAGCTTTTGCTTTCTAACATCGGGAATTCCCTCTGCTAAGAAATGTTGATTAATAATAAGAGACAATCATTCAGACGCTTTAAGGTGGTAGCTTATTAGTTTATTAGACCTTTCTAAAAATTATAGATACACTTCGTGTTGCACAACTGGTTTTTCCTTTTGTATTTTTAAGATTTTCTTTTTCCTTTTTCTACAAGGACTTGAACATTTTTATAGTAAAAGCCTTGAAAACAATAAAGGGGGAGTATAGTATGCAAAACAAACCTCAGGACTCAGGAGCATCTGTAATCTTCAAAAAGATTGAAGGGTATTTGTGTAATAATTGTCAGTTACATCGGGGTGTGTTTATGTAATTTTCATTAATATTAAATTTTGCTTATTGTAGGTAATTCACGCTAGATCAGTGCGAAATCTTAGAACTGCAAGCCTTGCTATTATTTCTGTTTCTATTTTCAATTTCTTTATTATTATATTTCTCTGTTCTTGTTTATATTTGTGTTTTACTTAGGCTTCTCAATTTGTAAGTTCACCCATGTTAGTTTATGAGACTGTATTGTCTCCAATCTGTTTGATGCTTAAACCTGTTTACCATTATTATTGTTCCTTTACCATGATATTTTTTTTTTGTTTTCTGTTGTTTGGTACTCAGCTAATGACCATTGAAGGTTTTTGCGGTCTTGTTTCGGTAGAAGTTGAATATAGGAAACTTTGAAGAAGTCAGGCTAACAACATGTCTGTTTCAATGAGAGATGTGGATCCAGCTTTTCATGGGGCAGGACAAAAGGCGTATCCTTATGAATTTTCTTTAGATTTAAAGTAGCTCCTAGTAGGAGAAAATTTTGGATTGCAAAAAGTAACCAATAGCAACTGCAGATGTTACTGCATTTACATTTGCCATTTTCATGAATCTGTATATATTCTTAGAGAAAGTTATTCTTTATGCTCCTTGACTTTGCATAGTGGCATTGAGATATGGTGGATTGAAAATTTTAAACCAGTCCCAGTCCCAAAATCTTCTTATGGTAAATTTTTTAAAGGCGATTCCTATGTGATTCTTAAG